GACTCAATTTGCACTATTTCTGGCAGTCTGCAAAGGCCCTAAGATCTATACACAGAAATATGGTGAAACCTTTTCACCTGTAGTGATAGATACCACAATGAAGACACTCTTAAATGTGTCAGCATCCAGAAAGATGCATGTTGAACGCTTAGATGTCAAGATGGCCTTCATACATGCGGAAATCAAGGCAGTAATCTACATGGAACCACCTCTTGGATTTGAAAAAGCAGGAAACAAGCCACTTATTTGCAAACATCAGAAAAGTATTTAAGGTCTAAAACAAACTGCAAGAGCTTAGAATGAGAAGCCAAACAAGATGCTAATCAAAGACGGCTTTACACAAGGCAAAGTTCATCCCTGCCTCTACACACAATACAAAAATGATAAATGGACTTACATATTAACTTATGTCGATTATTTGATTTTGCCTTCTCAAGATGAAGTTAATTGTGAAGAAATCATAAGCCACCTAAATAAAGAAACAGAAGTAAAAAGGCTAGGAGACATCACTTATTATCTGGGAATACAAATAGAAAGAAAGGAAGTTGGAAGCTATCTCTTCAGTCAAGAACAAAGGATTCATGAGCTCTTAGAACACCTAGGACTCAAGGAGGCCAACTCAGTGGTCCCATTTATGGAAACAAGACAGATGAATGCCCTGAGCTTCTACCAAATAATAATCAATACAGAAGTGCTATAGGAAAGCTGACATACCTAGCTGCCACCACGAGACTAGATATTGCTTCAGCAGTTGGAATTCTTGGAAGAAAAACAACTCATCAAGTAAAAGGGACTGGAATGAAAGGAGTGGCAGTTACTTAAAGAGTATTGCACACTTAAAGGTAAAGCTACAGCCACCAGCAGTCCCAGACTAGTAGTTTACACAGATGTAGATTAGACTGGAGACCTTAAAGATTGCAAATCTGCTGGTGGGAACTTGTTATTCTATAGAGATGGAATAGTTAGCTGGACAAGCAAGAAACAAGATGCTATAGCACTCTCTTCTATTGAAGCAGGATATGCATCAGCTGCTTAAGCATGCAAGGAACTTATGTGGCTATGCCAATTACCAAAGGGACTTGGAACAGCTGAATCAAAGCCTATAGAGCTTCTGGAGGATAACCAGAGCTGCATAAAACTCTCACAAACTGAGAGGTTCAATTCACGCACCAAGTACTTGGATGTGAAATATCACCTGCTGAGAGATCTGCAAGAAATGGAGCTTATTGAGATAAAGTATTGTTTATCAAAAGAGATGATTGCCAACATTGTCACCAAACCACTTCCAGTTCCTGAGAGAGAAGATGAATCTTGTGGACTTAAACAAGTGTTGCTGAGAAGGGGTGTTGGAAGAGAAGAGGCATTTGCTTATATAAAGTGATTAGCGAAAGGGAACTCTGGAGAGCATGCCTGTCCTTTTGTTTCACCTCTTTCTTTCTTTCTTTTTGATCTATGTACTAAACCTTTCTGTTTCCTTCTTCTTCCAAAATGTTAGTGAGTCCTTTTTCTCCCATTGTCTGGGAAGGGACCATCCATGAGGCTCCCATCTCAGGATGGCTTACATCCACACATGAGAGCCAGCTTTATGGGCTCTTCTACTGAAAGCTAGGTAATCTTCTTTTGTCTATCTCCTTTCCTATCCTGAGATGGATTTCCTGAAACAATAAATGTAAGTTTTCCATTTTTTGAAAAAAAAAACTTACAAGGATGTTGTATTTTCTCGTCTTTTCTACCATAAGCTCATATTGCACTGGCTATGCTCACTCTGTTTGATACAGATACCAAATAATCACACAGGGAACATAACGGCAGAAGAGAAGCCTCAGGAAGGCATGGCGGTAGTGGTAGCAGAGTCTAGGTTGCCATCTGAAAGGGAGATGTCTAAAAGAGGGAAAGGGCTAAGGTGGATTGTTGGAGAAGGAACTAAAGGATTGGTGGCTATAGATAACATGCTTCTTGGGCCTTATGAAGATTTTCAATCTTGATTATTAACTTTGGATTCCTAAGGTGTATGAGCTGGGAAGCAAAAGATCCTACAGGTGTCATTTCCCTACCTTTTGATTACTTGAGGTCTTCAGTTCTCCTATGATCTCCTGGGGCTTGGAGTGGCATTGTATAGGTGCAGGTTCTGTCTATGATGTCTTCCAAGTAACTGCCAGCTGCCTTCCCAAGATAACATATTGTCCGCAAGAGTGTGAACATGGAGCCAAAAGCTCCATTCTTCAGGCACCCAACCTGTCAGCAAGGGAGAGGTGATGTGGGCACAAGAGGGACTTGCTTGCCAATCTTGCTGGCAGGAGAAATATTGCTACAGATGGCAGCTGCCAGCAGGGGTGCAGTGAGTGAAAATAGAGGAATTTATGACAGAAATTACGAGGGAGGGAAGCATTTCAAAGTTAGTCGTTTTATCTTAAGTGTTAAAGCAAAGCCAGACATCAAACAGTCAAACAAACTGAACAGGGCCAGATGGTGCAAACTGGTTTCCGCTTTAATAAAGAGACAGTAATGTATTTTATTTATTTTATTTTATGCAAGAGATTTTTGTATCGTCTCCCAGCCCACAAGGGCTCCCAATGTATGTGAGAAGGAGATCTATCTGAGGTCCTCCAAATCCTCCGCTATCCCGCATTCCAAGTCTAGTCCAAGGTTGAAAAGCGTCTTGGTAATTTTGTTTTTTGAAAGAGTCAGCATAAGTGAAATATGATTTTTCAGTGCAATCACAGGAAGATGCTTTGACTGAAATGACACGTTTGTCCATTTAGACTGGCAGTACCTTTCAAGGCTCACTGGCTGAGAGTTTTCTCAGTACATATTCAATTGATAAAGTACATGGCAAGTACTCAATCTGAGGCCTTATTCTTGCAAAACCAGATTCTACTGTTGAGCTAGCTTCCCTGTTTATTCTGATTTCCATCTGATGTATAACATGTTCCAGCAATGTTTAATTTTTAGTAACATGTTGGGTCCCAATCCAGAAGAAAGGTGGCATATAAATGAAATAAATAAATAAATACCATTACCATCTGATGTCATCTGGGGGAGAGACACTAAGCCCAGCACCACCCAGTCTAAAATAAGAACTCTTATTTCTTAAAGGATGGGTGGGATTCGGGATGTTATATTTTGTTTAATGGAAATTGTAATATTGTAAGCCACCCCGATTGCTCTGCAGAGGGGCGGGATATAAATAAAAAGTATTATTATTATTATTATTATTATTATTATTATTATTATTATTATTATTATTATATATAAAATACAACGTTGCCAGTCTTTTCTGTTTAGCTTGATCTACTATATAGTTCATGGGTCAACAATTTTAATTTTGTGTATTGCTATAGTGTATGTTTTATTATTGATGTATGACCCTTTGAAATCTGAAGATTTAGACAATGTTTGTAGATAAATAAAAGAAATCTACCATACTTAATGATTTTCCCAGATAAGAGTACATAGGATTATAGTCTTCACAACTTTTGACTCATGGAGTATAATAAAACATGTACTCCTATTCACAATACTATTGGAATATCTCTGAACAGAAATATGGAAACACCCTTTACAAGAGGTGCAACCAGGAAGAAACATAACATTTTGGGGACGCTTGAAGACATTCCTTGAAATAAACAGATATCTATGGAAATGTGGGGAAGGGGAATTATTTATTATTAGTATATTATTTAGTCTAAGAAATAAAATGCAAATTAAACCAGTTATATTATTACCGTACCATTCAAATTCAAAAGAAACTCTGTATTAGGGTAAAGCTAGTGGTCACTTTCTTAAAAGCAGTCACAATTGGTTCTTTTGTGGGGTGCAATTTGAGTTTCCCAGGGTGTTAACCTTTTTAATGGGAAACAAAAAATATGCAGGTATGAAAGTTAAACTTGTTAGAGTTCAACTTTCACCAGCAGAACAACGAAAGTGTGGGTCAGACTATTATTTTAAATCTGTCTTCCTATAGAATAAGGGCTTACTCCAAAAAACAACAAACATGCAGTTTGTAGTTTAAAAAACAAACAATAATGACTTTAATAAATACATACATAAAATAACTAAAACCTACAGGCTTATTGCACCACTAAATAAAGTGTTTTACCTGTCCCAAATTCAATCTTAATTTGGCCTGGATCTGGACCCTATTACAGCAATTTTGCAGCTGAAACCGCTGCCGGAGTCCAACCTGGGTCCCAGAGGTGCTCAGCGCACCTCTTTTTGAAACTGGGAGTTTTCTGAGTTTAAAAAAATGGCTGCCGGAGCGCTCCTGGACCAGGGCTGGACCCGGGAGGCGGTTTCTGCAGCAAAATCGCTGCAATAGGGTCCCAGATGCAACCCAAATTAAGATTGAATTTGGGACAGGTAAAACGCTTTATCTAGCGGTGTGATAAGCTTACTCATCTAACTGGAGATGGTTTGGGTAAAGAGAATAAATCTCACCATCTTATAGATAGCAGGGACAACAACAAGCTACTGCATACTAATGGCTGACTGCAGTTACAAGCAGTTTAGAATCTTCAGAGAGAGCTGTTAACTGCCTCCAAGATTCAGTGACCAAAATCACATGATGGTTAGAATCAGAAAGAGGGAGTGAGTCCCTGTCTATATAATGAGGGACAGGAGAAAGCAATGCATAATTCTTCCAACACCTTTTCACTGTGGTGATAGTCTGAATTTGTAGCTTGTCTCACACACAGTGACTGTAGGTATCCTGTCCAGTATTTACGATGTTGAAAGCTTGTTGCTTTTGTGTGCCTTCAAGTTAGTTTCTGACTTATGGCGACCCTACAGTGAACCTATGGGGTCTTCTTGGCAAGATTTGTGATTTGTCTGAGGCTGAGGAAGTGTGACTTGTCTTAGGTCATCCAGAGGGTTTCCACGGCTGAGTGGGGATTCAAATCCTGATCTTCAGAGTTGTAGTCCAACACCCAAACCACTGCGCCACACTGGCGCTCTAAGCTAGACTTATGACCTCCTAATTTTTGCTATTCACATTTACAGTTGTGGCACCAATGCTATGAGCACCAATGCCCCCTAAAACCACCTTAAAATCCAAGCAGCCATACTGGGGAGTTTGAGGGGACTGGATTAGGAGAGGGATCATAATTAGGTAACTTGAACATCAGATCAGTTTTAGTCTTGCCTGTCATGTATGTGCATCACCTCCTCTTCCTCCTCCTTTGAACTTTCAACAGCACACAACACATACACGCCCAGTGTTTGCCTTAGAAAATAAAATTCATGAACATTTCAAAGACAATTGCAAGAGAGCTTTGGGGACCAGGATGTGCATATATTTGTTGGCGGACGCTAGCACATATGTGGTTATCAGAGCTGGATTTCCCACATTATGCTGAAAATGTGCAAATTTCATGGAATCATAGAGTTGAAAGAGACCACAAGGGCCATCCAGTCCAACCCTATTCTGCCATGCAGGAACTCAAAATCAAACCATGGCCATCCAGCCTCTGTTCCAGCCTCTGACAGATGGCCATCCAGCCTCTGTTTCAAGACCTCTAAAGAAGGAGACTCCACCACAATCTCCGAGGGAATGTCTTCCACTGTTGAACAGCTCTCACTGTCAGGAAGTTCCTCCTAATGTTGAGGTGGAATCTCTTTTCCTGGAGCTTGCATCTGTTGTTCCTTCATCCCTTCCTCCTAAGACAGTGATACCCAAACTTTGGTTCTCCAGTTGTTTTGGACAGCTTGGCCAACCATTAGGAGTTCTTGCAGCTGAAGTCCAAAATACCTGGAGGACCAAAGTTTGGGTATCGCTCTTAAGACATTAAATTGAACATGCATTTTCAAGGCAACAAACATTTCTAGCGCACTTACATTCTTCTTTCCTTCACGCATTTGGAACATTAGTGCATAAAGATATTTATCGTGAGAGAACATTTGAGGTAACACTTTGGTTTAAGGGCCCTTTCACACTACAGAATTATAGTGCTGTGGCTCCACTTTAACTACCATGGCAACTTGCCATGCAAGTTTATGCAGGAATTTTAGGATTCACAGCCAGTGAGCTGTAGTGCCTCAACAAATTACAAACTATGGAATTCCATAGGAAAGAGTCACAGTACTTCCAAGTTAAGAAATGCCAGTTATTGTGGGTACCTATTTGCTAGCACTGATGACAATAGCTTTTAGGGGGAAATGGAAAGTAGAATGCTGCTAGATAATAAGTGGAAGAATTTGGCTACCCAAATTCCATATATTCCAAGTCACAGAGGTATTTATTTTTTAGTGGCAGCAGTAAAATTCAAAGTCAGTCTGAAGTGTAGCAGGAATCCATCAGCCTCTCTATTCAGCAGATGTATGTAATGTGAGAAAATATTGTTGTTTGACCCATCCAAAGGTTGGCTCTTAGTATTATACATTGTATTATTCATTGCCATTCCCTTCTGTGCTTGAAGAGAACTGAATGGCTTACTCATACCATGGGATTTCTGATTGCCTACCTATATTTCAAAGGAAGAAACTAGCAAAACCACCTCTGAGTATTCCTTGCCTAAGAAAACCTTATGAAATCCATGGAGTCACCATATATTCACAGGCAACTTGAACATACACACACATACACACACAATAGTCTATCTGATTATCCTAACAGAAAACCATCTGCACTGCAAGGGTACAGACACAAAAGCAAAATGTCAGAGGGTGCAGGAAAAAAGAGAGAACATAGCTTGGTTTTACCAAAGAAAATCCAATCCACCAAGTAAAGATGCCATAAATGAGTTACTAGGAGCTGGCGACTCAATCCTTTAAGCCCTGTCAACACTTTTCTGTGATTAGTTAGTAAATCTGGAAAGACCTGTGTTTGTTCACTGCTTATTGACAGAATGATATTGATAAAGCAATATCCAAGCTGGGCTTGGAGGAAGCCTAGGAGGCCACAAGCTCAAATTTACTTCTTCAGGCCTTTACTTGAACACTGTCCTTCCCCAGTCTCCTCTCACATGAATTCATTTTCCAGAAATTAAAAGAAGAAAAAATTTTCAGAAACCACAGCTCTGATCTCTTTGTTTAATACTTATTAATCAACTGGAGAGACATTAAACACTGGAGAGGAAAAGCAGGACACACAAATCAATTCCTGCAGATTTCTGATTTCACAATGCAGAGACATCTGGGGCTAAGTGCTTACAAGGGGGAAGAATTACTCTTCAAGGAGGTTCTCTTTTATTTTTCTTTTCTACTCTACCCCAAGACATGCTGCATGATCGGGATACAACCATGCCTTCTTGGCTCTCACAGTCGCTGTGCTTTATTTAATCACTTGCTTGTCCTATATATACCCTTAAGGTCCCTGTCACAGTCACTACCTTCTCAAAGGCTGCATCCACACTGCAGAAATAATCCACTTTGATACCACTTTAACTGCCAAGGCTCAATACTATGGGAACTGTTGTGGCACCAGAGCTCTCGAACAGAGAAATCTAAATGTCTCTACAGTTCCCAGAATTCCATAGCATTGAGAAAGTGGTATCAAATGGATTATTTCTGCAGTGCAGAAAGCACTCCCAACAAATGGCTATCCAGTCTCTGTTTACAAGACTCCAAAGAAGGAGACTCCGCCACTCTCCAAGGCAACACATTCCACTGTCGAACCACCCTTACTCTCAGGAAGTTCTTCCTTCTGTTTAGGTGGAATCTCTTTTCCTGTAGTTTGAATCCACTGCTCTATGTCCTAACCTGTGGAGCAGCGGAAAACAAATTTCCTCCATCCTCAATATGACATCCCTTCAAATATTTGAACATAGCAATAACGGTACCTCTTTAACCTTCTCTTCCCCAGGCTAAACAAACACAGCTCTTAGAGCCACTATATATGCTATCCCAACCTATGTATCCCAGATGGCTAGACTGGGACCCCAAGGAGGCTGGACTCAGCCCTGGGTCCTGGGTTTTCCCACTGATGCTGATGTAGCCCATCAATGTACTGAAAAATCAACTTTGTAGCAACATTTCTATACTGCTGATCAGTGCACTCGAGCATTTACAATGTATAAGCTAATTGCCCCCAACAAGCTGGGTACTCATTTTGGCGACCTACGAAAGGATGCAAGCCTGAGTTGATCTTGAGCCCCTGGCTGGTATTGCACTCACAGCCTTATGGTTTGCAAGTGAGTGGCTGCAGTACAGGCATTTAACCACTGGTCTTTGTAGGTTGACTCCAAGGTCTACTCTAAAGAGTATTCTAAGGTTACACTCAGTTTGTTAAAAGTGTTGCCCAAACCAGATCAAGTAAACAGCAACCAATCATTGTAAATGTAATAAAGTTCTTTCCATGTGCTTCTGTGAATACACTTTTAAGATACAACTAAGCTAGTAGATCAGGTTAAACGCACAGAAAGTTTTCCATTTGGCCTGGATTATATAATATGTCATCTGGGCAACACACCACCAGTCAGATTGTCATAATGTGCAGTTTGGGTCACTTTCAGATCCTTCTGATCACTTCTTTGATGCCTTGACAGCCCCCACAACACAAATGTGACACCCATTACAATCTAGATCAGGGGTAGGCAACCTTTCCCCTTTAAGGGCCGAGGGACTACAGCTCCCAGAAGCCTCAGCCATGTTGGCCAATAGTCCCATGTTGGCCAATAGCTCCTGGGATTCTGGGAGCTGAAGTCCCTCGGCCCTTAAAGGGGAAAGGTTGCCTACCCCTGATCTAGATCAATTGAGACTTGCATGATGAAGGTTGCAGTATGAGAACAATGAACAGCTTTTATTCCACCAACGTGGTCAAGTGTGTAGGTAAGAGAAGACATTCCAGAGTATTTCTGTTATTATCATCACAGATTGCATCTGAAGCCATCAAACAGCTAAAAAGAGGAGGATTATGTTTCCAAGCTACATGTGTGACACTAGAATCTGTACAGGAGATGAATGTGAAAATAAGCCTTTTCTATCATCCCTAGGGGGAGAGAGAGCAACATTTGTTAAAAAGAAAGAGGGAGAGAGAGTCTTTCCCTCCTCCTCCTCCTTTTTGCTTTCGTCTTCCAATTTCATCCTGGTTGCACATGACTAAACATCAGTTTTGACACTAATGGGGAGTGTTGCTCTCCTCAGGGTTTGGCCATCTGATTTGCTGAGCAATTGTCAAATCATTAATTGTGTGTTTTACACCCTATTTTAGAAAGGCACGTCTTATCAAAAAAGAAGTTACTCAACGGTGGGTCACCAACACTACCTCCACCAATGTATCACTCACCCGCTCTTTTGGTTCATTTATGTTTCTCCTAGATGGGTGTAGAAAAAGGGATCACCATGTATGATAACACACATTTATCTTATTCCTCATGTATATGCACTGGGACGTTGACACATTGCATGTACACATGGCACAATTCATTCTGTGACCCTCATATACTAATATATGCTTAAGAACTAACTCTGTATTATTCTCCTGTAGGAAAACCAAGATGTGTTGAATAGGCCTTAAACAAAAGGTACATGCACACCTACTTACCCACCCATCCACAATACTTTGTGGACTCACTCAAAAACAGTCAGAATTCTGAAAATATGTACATATGTCTGTTCCCTTCTCTACCTCAACCACTCCAGTCAGAAATGACAAAGCAAAGTTTGGCAAGGCAATAAAGGAACAGCTACAAATCATTCAGGATTATCTGGTTTCCTTTAAGAATGCCATAAATTGTTTACAGCAGCCTTGGTCTTTAATGGAGTGGGAAGGGAAAGGAGAAAGGTCAAAGGAGGGGAAGCTTTAATTTAACAATTTCAACACATTTGGAGAAGTTCCTTCCTGTACCTTGCAATTAAAATTGTTATCCTCCCAAAGTTTCCAAAGGCCAAAGTCCCAAACCATTTTGTTTACAGGGCAGAAGGTCAAATTAACGTTAACTGAAACTAAAATAAAGGCTCACTTTACTCTTGACTTCATATAACCTAGACCCAACATTTTGTCATTAACTGCCT